CCAATATGTCTGTTGTGACGTTTCCAAGTGAAAGTAGCGCTGAGATGCCTCAGGAAAAACTCCGACCACTCGGACCCTTGATGCCGTCTAGGCGTAGGATGCGGATCCGTTGCTTTGGCTGCAAACTCCATCCTCATTCCATATACGTTGACCGTAAACCGGCCGCCCCTGGGTGGCGGGTCTGTCCATAAAGCAGAAAAAAAAACCAAAAAAAATGTTAAAAAGCTTGGTTAAAACAACTCCAAAGTGTGTCAAAAAGACAAAAGGTGGCAAAGAAAGCACCGTTTCCCAAATGTCATCACACATTTCCCCCCTCCCCCATGTACAGCCTCGTGCCGGATAATTAGAGGAATTGAAGTAGCGACGTACAGTGCAAGCACCCAGTTTGTAACCAATTTCGGTAGCGTCCTCGATTTTCCCTTCTCCCTCTCTTTTCCTTTTGTCGATCAGGTGCGTTCCGAAAAGCTCAAGCGCGTTCCTTCACACCATTCGAGTTCGAAGTAAGCAACATCACGCACAGTGCTGGGTATTTCTCCCCCTCCCTTTCCCCGTCCAATTAATCGAATTTTCTTGGGTTAGTTTTTTTTTTCCTGGAGACCAAACCCACACACTTTTCCCCTTTGTCATCCAGCTTACATTTGTCTCAGGTGGAGAAAAAAACCAAACAACCAACCAACAAACCCAGTTTCCTCTAAGCACACCAATCCAGTTGTGTGAAATTGTGGTGGTTTGTTTTCCCTCTTTATTCCCTAAAAAAAAAAAAAAAAAGAAGGAAAAAGGTGCCTACCTCTGCTTAAACTGTAAAATAATGCAAGCACTTGTTAGAGCAAACGAGAACGCTTTTCCTTAGAGATTTAATTGCATCCCAGAAAAGGGTTTTCACCTAAAACCGGATGCAGTGCTGTCTTTTACGCCTTTTTATCGCGGTTTTTAAATGCTTGTGACGGGACCCTTACGGTCCCTGCACCTTCTGCAGCTCCTAAAGCTGGGAATTGGAGGGGGGGTTTATCCCCCTTTGACCAAATTATTCTATCAGCGCCTGAAAAATCTTACTGGCCTGGCCGAAATGGGGGTTTTTTTGGTCGGAGAGAGCGGGACCTCGTAGCATCGATCCTCCCCCCCCTAATCTATTCCATTGGTAACTTTGTTCTGTTCTTTTTCGAAACATTCGAAATATTTAAGCTTTATCCTTCCACTCTTGATCCCGGAAAAAAAAAAAAAAACAAAAAAACCCCAAACTGCTTTTGGCTCGTCCGCTGTTAACGGCGTAAGCAGTTTTTTATCCGTACCAAGATGAGGTGGAAAGGACAGGTTGGGGGAGGAAAGGGAGAAAAGAAGCTGCCGGAAAGCTCGAGGTGAATATTTTAGGTTAATTCTGTCCCTTTTCAGGGACGGAAGAACCAGGAATTGTTTGAATGTCAGGAGTTTTCAGGGATCGTGCTGCCAAGGAGTTGTCGTCTGGTGCCGTAAGCGAATAGTAGGGTCGTTTTTTTAAGCTATATATAGTTAAATATTAGCAGCAGGAGTCCAACGTCTTCTTGGGGGCTTTTCCTTGTCCCTTGCTTCCCCTGCCCCGTTTTTAATCGGGCTTAACCTCCTCCTAGTGCTCAGGCTTTGCTAGAGATTACCTTTTTGAATCGTGCAAACACGCAGGCAGGCATTTAACGTCCGTACCGTGAGCAGCTCCCTGGCAAATCGGAGCAACTTTTTGATAGCAAAGCGAAGCACCCGCCAGGAATCTTCTTTATTTTCACAGGGACGTGGTGGGGTTTTTTTTGGTTTTTTTTTTTTTTGTTTCTAAGGGCGTAATTGTTCGGCTGAGGCTCCTTGGGTCGAGCGAGGCTTTGTTGTACCGGGTTAAAGGAAAGGCTAAAGCAAATCCTAGACCCCAGCAGGTTTTTTTTTTTCCAGGGCCTGGGACGTCTCCCGTTGCTGTGGCATCAGCCGTGCTGTGGCAGCGAGGACGTCAGCGCTCAGCGTTAGGATTTCACTGAAGGATTCGGATAGGAGGAGCGGGAAGGAGCTAACCTGGGAGCAGAGAGGACGTTCAGAATTAGCAGCTGAGTCGAGCGCGTTCCCTGAGAAATCTTAAGTTGTGACCAAAGAACGCTTGAACGTTTCCCTTAGTATAAACTGCGCTTAAAAACGCGGGGTTTAGGGATGGCAGGAGGAGGATTTGCCCCCGTTACAGCCAGGAGGGGGCTAAAGGGGCCTCTCTCCAAGCCTCTTAGAAATTAATTCAACATCTTTGTCACCCAAAAAACCCCCAAACTTCCATAGTTATACAGAAGATGTCAAAAGTTGATAAATTTTAATGACTTCTGCCCCGGTCCACGCACTTTGAATGAGGCAGGGTGGCCCCGCTGCCTTCAAAGCGGCGCTGCTTTTATTCCTTGATTGATGTTATTTCCCCCGGTTTCCACTTGGAATCAAATGGAAGGCGGCCGTGCTGGCAGGCCGGAGGAGAGCTTAGTTCCTTTGGGATTATTCTGGAATAATCAGGCTTTCGGGGGAAAGAATAGAGATCTCGCTGAATCATTTTCTCCGGTGCGGAGCGTGCAGGTGTGTGATGCCGGGGATAGGAGCGAGTTGTCGGCGTAAACTTCTGCCCAAGCATTAAATGTGTGATTAATCACCTTTAAGCTAGATGGAGCGGTCACTCTTGAAAAGCCCGGCCTTGTGTTTTCACTAGAAAACCTTAAAAAAATGCAGAGAATCAGCAAAAAAACCGACGCGTCCGTCCTAAAAAAAAAAGAGCTAAATCCCACTCAATGCGGCGCCGAGGGGTCGGGTTTTAAATCCTGCGCTGAAATAGCTTGCGGGGAGTTGCTCTCAGCTGGGACGAGCCCCTCACCGAAAAAAAAAAACCCCAAACCACTCCCCCACCCCCACCCCTTGAGCTCAGCCACTTGGGTTTATGGTTCCGTTTTTACTTGGTTTTATCGAGTTTACAATTTGAATTTGCCATCCGATAATTCCCCGCTCCCGGAGGACGCTGTCAAATACATCAGATTGTGAAAAAAATCGAACTCAAAACTCCCATGGTCGTTCAGCTTGAGGCAGACGTTGTTCATCCTAAAGATACGCACGTGCGCGCCCAAGCTTAAGGCCCCGGCAAGCATTTGATTTAAAATAATGTAAAATCAGAAGCGACCGCTCCCTTAATCCTGAGATTAAATTGCACGGATTTGCAAGCCGGTGACTTCCAGAGCGCTTTCCCGCTGCCAAAAAAAAAAGAAACCAACACACCCCCCCCCCCACCCGTGGATCCGCTCCGGCCAAAGCAGATCACGCACCGGGCGGCTGATTTCACGGTCAGCTGCACCTCTTGTGCCAAAAGCTCCCGGATAAGCCTTCCTTCCAGAAGGAAGGGATGGCATCCAAAGAGACCTGGACAGGCTGGAGAGGTGGGCCTGTGTGAACCTCATGAGGTTCAACAAGGCCAAGTGCAAGGTCCTGCCCCTGGGTCGGGGTAACCC